GGTCCCACCTCTTCCCGGGAACCTGGGACCAGCCTCTGCGCCTGCCTTCCCGGGCCAGGAGGGTCCCCCCGCTGGCTCTGAAGGACTGGTTTCTTCCTCTCTGCATCTCATTCTCTTGTCCACCAGCCTTCCAGTTCTCAGAGTCCCCATCTCAGCCAGCGTGGGAAACTTACAGGGTGACCAGCAGGACGCCGAGTGGGACAACTGACACAGGCAAGTTTCCATTGTTTCCAGGCTCACGAAGCAGACGGCAAGGCCGGCTCAGGGAAATCTCAACAACTGACCCAAGCCACTGACTAAATGTCTTTTTTTTTTTTTTTTTTTGATAAACCTTTGTGACATGTAGTTGTGGTTTGGAGCTAACTGATCTGCGCTTATTAATAAGTAGCCAATATTGGTGATTCATGAGTGTCTGCTTTTCCCTAACAAGAGTTCAAGCTCCAGGAGGGAAGGGGAGAGACAGGGCGCAGGGTCTCCAGAGCCCTCTGTGCTCCCCTGAAACGCGCAGCAGAGTCCTGCTCAGGGGCGGCTGCGAGAGGGTGACATTGTTTTCTATCCGATCAACTGGAACAGATGATTGTCTCATCTCTTGCTTCCCTCTTCCGGAGCTGACACCAGGGAGAGTAAAGAAGTTTTAGAGGAAAAAGGGATGAATGAGCACGAGGCAAAATGTGGTGCGAAACAGGGTAGTCGAACATTCTCTTTAAAACCCTCAATATCACGTAGGAAAGCATCCTAACCAGGTTTCAGTTATTCCAGCTGCAGTACCCAGTCTGTGCAGTAACCAGGCTGCTGGCTGCCCTGTCTGCTCCACACCCGGAGAGCCCCTGCTCCCCTTCACTGGTCCACTTTCACTAGGAGACCAGGAAGGTCAGGGGGCGGAGAATGACAGCCGATTCCAGGTGTTTGGTCTGGCTCCTGCATCAGGCCTCACACACATCAGTGGTCTAGAGACACCTGGACCCCTTAAAGCAACAGCCAGACTCCTTCCTGACTGCATTTCTACTGCAATCCTATTGCATATGACGTAAGAAAGAAACTTACGCATCATTCTTTAAAGAGATTACAGCCCATTATAGGTAGAAGAAACACACACAAGACAAAGCCTGCCTTCCACATGCTAGAAAAATCAAGAAGTGAGATAAGTTAAAGGGAGCTGGACAGAGGATGGAAGTATCACAGAACTGCCTTCGTGCGGGACGGTGGTCCTCAGCACTGCTTAGTTTTTAAAAGCAAGTTCCCACCCATGCCCAGGCCAAAAACTCCAAATCTCTGGTGGAGGGACCATCTGCATGGTATGGCTTCAAGGGTGACCCAGTGCACAGCTGAGCCAGCACCACTGGGTTCGGGTATGGGATTATGGGTTAAAAAAATTCCTATGGATGCTTTACCATCTGTCCAAGAAGATACATTTTAAGTTTTTAAAGAAGTGTCATGTACAGGGGTCAGGCTGAGCCAACTGGTGACGTGGGAGGGAGGGAGCGGCTGGGTCTCACAGCCCCTGCGGGGTGGTCAGTGGTTCTCAGGCCAGGTGGCAACGCGGCTCAGATACAGCCCAGCGCGCTGTGGGCAGAGTGGGTGGCCCCGAGCTCTTGAACAGACAGCAACATCAGAGAACTTGTATTTGGGGGACACTTGTGGATGGCCTGAGTATAGTTCTGGGCTGTCCTGCTCTGTAGCCGTGGCTCTGACGTCTGGGACGGTCCCCACAGGAGGGATGTGTGGCCAGCATCTCAGGGGTGGGGCCCCCTTTGCCCCCCCCCCCCCCAAGAGACGGGCCAACGCAGGCGGAGGGGACTCCAGGACAAGAGGAGGAACCAGGAGGCACAAGTTCCACGTGGAAACAGGAGGGAAGAGGGTGGCACAGGACGGAGTGAGGAAAAACCCAGACTGGCGGGGTGGTGAGGGGACCGCCCAGGGGACGTCTGTGGAGGGCTGCTACGTGCCGGGCAGTATCCTCAGCCCCTTACACATACTAACTTGCTGAGCCTTACGAATGCCCTTCAGTTCGTATTATTGGGTACTATGTAGAAGGTACTGCTGTTAGACCCATTTTACAGAATTGGACTACGGGCTGCAGAGCAACGTGAACTTGACCGAGGCCACAGGCTGGACAAAGGGGACATCAGAGCCTGGCCTCTGATAGGACACACCCCCCTTGCAGCTGGGGAGGCTGGCTCCAGGCTGGAACTGGAAGGTTCTGGCCAGTGTTGAGCGTGGGGTCGGGGGACAGGAAGACAGTGGGATCTGAGGATGGAGCAAGGGCAGGCCAGCCCGCACTGTATCCAGCACCAAGGGAGGAAAATACAAACCCCGGGACACGAAGGGTGGCCCGAGGCTTGCTGACGGCTCCAACTTCTCCCTCCACTCCAGTACTCGGGGCCCGGATCCTGCTGCGTTCCTAGCACCCCCAGAACGTTGAAGCCCCTCGCGGCCTTGGGATGGCCCCCTGGAGCCCTAGAGCTTGACCTACCCGGGCACCTGGGAGCATCTGATGTGCGTCTGTTGACTATATGAAGTCGGGGCATACTCTGGGCTTCAGTTCCCTGATATGTTCGATGTGGTCGGTTAGAAGGATTCTGTAGCTACAGCTGCTAGGTGACCCCACAGACCTTCACGGTCCCACGGGCGTACCGGCCAACAAACGCAGAAACTGTCACCGTGACAGGAAGGAACAGAACCCACAGCATCACAGGGCATGCGCTGGGAGCCCCAGTTCCTGCAGTCCTGTCAGCGTCTTTCCCAAACCCCACTCTTATCTCATGAAGACTTCCTGCAGGACCACAAAGAAGGAGAAACAGCTTTCCCCAGCAGGCTCGGTTCCAAAAGACACACTGAGACAGTGTTCGCTTCTCTCCTCCCAGAGAGGCTGCAACGGGTTGTTTAAACTGAAAAACTCCCATCTCACTGGCTGGTCAGGAGCTCTGTGACCAAGGTCACCAACAACTAGTGTTAGGTGACAAACTACCCAGGGCAGCGGGGGCCGAGGGAAGCGGTCACCCTCTGAGCCTGGGATGCTGTCCTGATACGCGTGCTGACCTCACAGAGAGGAGGAGAAGAGAGTGGAGGGGCTGAGGCTGGTGCCCCGGGTCGTTCCTCATTGCTGGTGCTTATCAGAATGTGAGGAGCTGGACGTGGGGTCTCCTGAAGCCCCTTCTAGCTTCACGGTCTACAATGCTCTTGGCTGGTTTCAGCAAATTTATGAGGAAGGCAAATACGTAAGAAGTGCTATCCAGCAAAACCTTATTCAGACCACTTTTACAGGGAGGGAGGGAGGGAAAGAGGGGGACATATCGAATGAATACGTGAAGTGACCACCCTCATGGAACAGGGAAATCCTTTCATCTTTGGGGGGTTAGAGTTAGTTCCACCTTGTGCTGTTTCTGCCGACTGACTTGATGGCTTACCGCCCAGCAAATGGCCATGACGGGGTCACTGAAGAAGGGCTAGGACACCTGCCATTGGGGGTCTTAGCAAATGAGAGCTGGGTGCAGCTTCCTCCTCGAGGCAAAGGCTGGTGGGCTATCCGGCTGTGTAGCATCCACACGCCATGTTCACTTTGGGGCCAATGTGTAACACACCTGCAGTCTCACGGGGACACTTACTGGCCACCAGAATGACTCAGTGATCCCAGGCAGGGTCTTCTGATAGCTTCTGCAAACTTAAAACAGTGATTTTGTTGTAGAAAAGAATGACAAGTCTTTTCCGTCAGGTAGGTGAGCACAGTAAGCCTTTCCAAGAGTGCACCCTCCTGGGCATGCAGATGCAAGTCTGCCGCTCTTGCACAGTAGCTACAGCGGTGGCAGCAGCCTGACACCGACTCAGGCTAATCTGGTTTAAGCTCCAAATATGACCTACGTGAAAAGTGGCAGAGAGTCTGATGGGGCCTGGTGAGGAATTTCCTTCCACTTGCTCTAAATCCTGGAGCCTTTACAATCCAGCCTTTTGTGAAGGAGGAATTGCTTCCGACCAGATCCGGAGAAATCAGATGTGTTTATGCAGGGCTAACAAATAAACAAAGATCTGTGCTCCCTCTGCTGGCTCTCGACAGCACCATTAAAGCAGAAAGCCATCTTCAGCAAACGCGGTCAATTCACGTTTCCGGAGAGGGACCCCTCATTTAACCTGGTTTTAGGCATGCTTTGAGAAAAACCCATCTTTGTCAACTTCTGAGCAAGGTACTTGAAAATGCTTACAATCAGACATCAAAGTACACATGCCAATAGTCCTGCACTCCCAAATTGCTAGCTGTGACTGTAATAGTGATTTGGGGATTCATTTATCAACAGACATAAGTGGATTCCTCCAAGACTTTAAGGTCCAGACACGATCTTTAAAGCAGCTCTGGAAAAAAAAATCTAAAGTCCACGCTAAAGTCCCTCTTTTTTTTTTTTCTCCTTTAGTTTATAAGAGCAGCTTCCAAAAAGTAAAGATTTGTACTATTTATAGCCTTTCCGATAATGTCAAGCATTAGACTTGATTTTCCAAATCATTAGCATGCAGAAGAATGACCTCATGGTGAACAGATGCACTTGGCTATGAGCTGCAGTGATTACATCAGTCCCTCCCCTTCCAGTTAACTCTTTAAAGGCCTCTCTGCCACCCCCTTGCCTGGAAGCATGCTTGAAAACACAAACTTAGTCTCTCACCCCCATGTATGTGTGTGTGTGTGTGTGTGTGAAATGCACATATAAATACACGCATAAAACACAGATATGTACTTGTGTGTGTGTGTGTGTGTGTGTGTGTGTGTGTGTTCACTGTAGCCCGTATTTTATCACTGGTCACCTTTTAGAAATTGCTGGTCAATAAGGAAGGAGTCAAAAGAGATGCAAACTACAGAGCTGGGTGGAAAGTCAGCTCAAATACCTTTTATGCTCTGGGCGTTATCAACATGACTAATGGGCAGAAGAGATACAGGGCAGGAGGCGTTTAAAATAACATTTTTCTGACTGGGAAAAGAGTTGTTTTGAACCTCTTTTAAGAAGCTGAGCACCCACCTGTTGGCCTAACAGTAGAAGGTCCTACGTCCTGGTGTCGGCAGTGAGTCCAGATGCCCCTCCGGGCTGCCCTGGGTGACAGGCGGCAGTGCTGAGGTAGGGGAGCCGGGGAGCAGGGGAGGCATTTCCCAGGGTACAGTGTGGGCTGAACACAGTGTTCAGGCCACTGTCCCTGTGCTTGACCACAGGGCCCTGCTGCAAGGACACAAAGAAGATCTGAGCCCCGAGTTCCTCAGACTGTGCCTGTGAGCGGGGGCCTGAGGCCCTGCTCTGAAGACACCGCTGCTGAGATGGTGTGATCGGATCCTAAGAGCGCTGTGGGAGCTTAAGCCGCTCAGGGTCAATTTTTCCAGCTGGCTTGTCGCTTGGAAGAGCAGGGCTCACCTCAATTTCTTAGTTTAAGCTGCCTGGCTCATCTGGGTTTGACTGTACTTGTCCCAGGAAAATAAAACACAGTGAAAAATGTTTTCATCTGTCAAAGTGGTAACCGACAGGGAATAGGGATTCCTCAAAAGCAAAACTGGTCTGAAAACGAGGATGTGGTTCTGAAAGTGGGCCTGTAAATGGGACAGAAATGTACCCCTCAGATTCCTGGGCAAACCAAGTTCATTTCTAGCTCTTTCCTGATGGGTATCGTGGGCAGATACGCAAAGCATTGAAAGAGAACATTAAGCCCAGACTTATAATCGCGCTCATGGGTTGGTGCTGTATGCGTAGAAAATGTTATCACTCCACACAGAATACCCTGAACCCTGCGTGTTATGACATGTGATACTGCTGTCAATAATTTGAAAAGAGGAAGGACTGGCATTTGTCTTGATATCTCATCTTTGGTCTCATGTTCCTTTCATACAGGTTCCCATGCCCACTCTTAACGAGCTGTCAGAACCTTTATCTGTTCAGTGACATTCTTATAGCAGCCTGTCTCCAAACGGCAAGTCTTAAAAACCCCAAATCACTCCTAGAGGCTCACTTAAGATGTTGCCTACACATGGACTCATTTGAACTGCTTTAAATAATTATGAACTTCTGGGAAAGAGCAAATTAATTTATATAGAGACTAAAATATACATAGAAAATAAAGTTCCTCAATATTGGTTTCAATAACATCTTAATCAAGAGCCTGAAGAACATAACAGTTAAGAAGTGGAAACATCTAGTTATGACTTAATTTCTTTTAATTTTAAAAAACAAAAAGGCTTCTCGAGATTAAAAAAAAAATAACTACGCTGCACTAAAAACGTCAGTCCCAGTACTTCATGAGGATGGGAAAAAGCTGAATGAGATCTTTAAAAAACTAGCTTTGCTCTAGATCCTTCATGTTCTCTCACCTATAAATTGAAGTGATTTTAAACCTCTAGCCAGACTGGGTATGAAATCTTCATTTCCCTTGCAACCGATTTTTGTTTTTTTTGGTTTTAGATAGAATGTTGGCAGAGTGTATGAAAGAATTCAATTCACAGCTGTTCTACTTTTTTAACGTAAGAAACATTAATCAAAGCTTTAAGTTATAAGCTTTTCTCATGTTGCTTAGTATTCCAGCTCAACAAAGATCAATAGAGGCCATCCCTGTGTTTCTGGACGCCTCGCCAGGGAAGCAGAGGCGTGATTATGTTAATCTCGCGGCTCCCGCACCTCCGTGGCCGCTTATCTCCCAGGCCTTCTGCCTGCTGCTCCTGGCTCCCCGTGCGGGGCCAGCCTCTCCCTCTTATCTCCCGACAAAGCTCGGGGAGGCCAGGACTGGAGCCAGCGATGCTCAACAATGATGCATGGCTGATTTTATTTGTAAGTGATTTATTTCACCGAATTTAATTTTTTTCACTTTGTGTGTAGGATATTTGTTAACAAGTCAGGATGGGAGAAGCCAGGCAGCGATCAGAGGCAACGGACACGGGGTAGAAATCTATTAGGCCCTCTAACAGTTGTGCCCGCCCTAGTGGAAGAGGAAGGAAGCCCCTCATCAAGGATTTCAACGTGCATTGACTCCATATCCTATTTGCTTTCTGAAAGGCAATTAATCTGTAATTACATACAGAAATTTACAAGTCATTCTACTCTTTGGGAAAAAAAACCCCACAGTAATCATATCATCAGTTTAAGGGCCAGCACATATTTTTTTTTCTTTCCTAAATTGGAAATATAAAAAGAGTAAAACCTAGAAACAACATTTTTGAAATTTTCCACTGGCCTAATAAGTGAAAGTGATTGTGAGCCAGTGTCGGAGCAGGTCCACACCAGGTGCTGCTCTCGGCGGATGGTCCCGGGGACGCAGACCGCTCCAGAAAGCAAGCTCGTCGCGCTGGTCACCATGGCCAAGGGACACTGTCCTCTCATTGCTCCCGCGTTAATCCCTGACCCGAGCATCTCAGCAGCATAATCCCCATTAAGCATCAGTGGCAACGGCTTCAACGGTGAGGAACTCTTTTTTGACAAGTAAGCACTGATTCGGGCATCGCTCTTAAACAACCCACACCCCCAAGTGAACCGGAGCACATGACTGACAACAAGTGCATTAACCTTGCTGGATGCGGAGGTTAACAGAGTGGCGGGAGAAAAGGACCGGCGAACAGCTTGGATACAAAACAAATTAGAATGAATGTCATCACTCCTTTTGATATTCATTAGTGGATTCAGGGGGAGAATGCGCTGCTTCGTAAATTTGAAAGCATTTATCTGTGAAAAACAGGTGTACATCTGCGGTTCGAGCGTTTGGAGGGCACGAGGGGAAAATAAAGCGGCCACTCACCAGTTCCGCTGACGGAGTAGCTGGAAGACGGGGAGAAGACCTGCGCTGTGAAATCCTCAAACGTCATGACTTCACGATGGTTCTGGATTACTGCTTCGAGATACAGAGCTCTCTCCTCGTAGCTGCAGGAGTCGGTTAAGGAAACAAGTGCTCATGCAGAATGACACACAGAACAGTGACAGCGTTCACTTTGTTTTAAATACAATCATGCATCTTTTACACTTGTGTGGGAAGAGGTACCTTGCAAGTTCGTGAACATCCTGTTGGAGAATTAAATATTAGTCATAATTCATGAGAACATTCCAATTTGGAGGCCTAAGTTTCCCTTAGATTTCAACTGCACCCAAACTAGTATCACTGAAAAAATATATAAACCAATAGTTCCAGAATCACAGCAAAAGGTCATCAACTGGATTGGAACAAACAAAAACAGAGACGTTGGTAGCGGCCTCATCCCTTTCTATCCACAACCGTGGGACAGCGCTGGATCGCCCCTTCTTAGTTCTGTGGATGAAACGTTCTTCTCAGCCTACTGATAAAATGAATCGATACTCCAAGCAATAATTGGTGACACACACTTAAAAAATAAGACCACTGGGGAGAGGGAAGGCCAGGAAGGTATGCTCTGAAGGGCACCAGAGCCTCAAGCCGAGATAAGCCACGAGCATTAGAAAATAAGAATAAGTGGGGAGAATCTAGCAGGGAGTGCACAATGCAATATTAAAAAAGAAGACTATTGCCTTTTAATTAAAACTGCAGTCTGGAACACACACATTCAAATGTGTAATCAAAAACCAGTCACCAATAAAACTTAGAAGCGTAACACGCTGAAGCAACTTTCCAGCTGTCTTAATAGGACCCCTGCGTGTGGCAGCCTTTCACAGGGCAGAAAGCAAATCTTCCCCTTTTGTGTGTGGCTTCTGTTTCCTCGGAAGGTGAATCATGCCTCCCAATAACAGGATAACGTCAGGACAATCTGACAGCGGATGGAGGTGCCACACGTAGGGTTTTATGAATTAACACTCGGGGGAGTCGGCATGATGTCTTACCCCGCCTTCCCGTGATCAACGCAAAAGTTAAGAGACACGTTTTAGCCTTTTGAAAATCGTGCTAATTCTCCAGGAACAGGGGGAATGCGGGTCACCGCCAGTTTATTATTTGCAGCTCCAGAAGGGCAAAAATAATTTTAGCATTTCTCACCATATTTTAAAGCGATCTTTTCAAAATGGCCTCTTTTAAAAATGTAAGTTGGGGAAAATTATGCCCTTCCAATAAGCTGTCGATAAGCGTGTGTTTTAAAAGAGGAGAATATTTTTCTATTCTTTTGGCAGAGGATGCTCACGAGTTTCCTGGGATAGGCTCTTCCCCTCCTCCTTTAATTACATTCAGGGAAAGGTTTTCTCCCTGGGAGGAGACCAGAGACATTCTAGGGCTGGCTGTGCAAACATGGTAGCCACGAGCCGTAGGTGCCTAGCTACACTGAGATTTAAATTAATAAATACAAAGAAATAGAAATTTGGTTCTTCTGTCCCACTCGCCGTATTTCAAGCATGCACAGCCACGTGTGGCCAGGGGCCACCGGCCTGGATTGTGCAGATACAGGACACGCCCATCGCTGGGGAAAGCTTTCCTGGGCTGCGCTATTCCAGAATTTCTCTGCAGGTTGGCTCTATGCAACTTTTAAAGAGGAACATGAGTTTAAAGGTTCAAAAGTGGCCCCTCGGATGATATATGAAGGTTTACAGAGATGGTCACGGCATCCTGAGGCCTGGCTGCGTGAGCCTGCATGGCGGGCTGAACTCCGGGTGACTCGCCTTCCCGGGCAGGCTGTCCAGGCCTGGAGGGACCCGCTAATGCCATTCACGTCTCATTATGAACACGCTTATTCTGCACAGCACTTGGCTGTCACTGAGTGCGGCCCTCCGAGCCGCTGGGCCGCGAACAGCAGGACGCTAGGCCTGGACGGCCGGCTGGCGGACAGGCACTGTGACACTGAACTGGCACGTGCAGGCCCAGCAGGGGCCAAGCCAGGCGTGACAAATTACTCAAAAAGCTGAGCTCAACTTACGGCTGAAGACCACCTGAGCCTGTGGCCCTGTCAGCGCCCCTTCCCGGCCCCCTCTCAGTGCAGCCTGCTCTCGGCCTCTGCAGGCCCGTCCTGCTGGGTCCCGAGGCCCCGCTGCGCCCAGACACCCACACACAGTGCTCGGACGTGAGGATGCGCTGGGCTGAAGACACGGCGGAGGCCACACATCTGGAGGGGCGGCCGCGACGCTGACCGAGCTCACCATCCACCACAATGGGACGCCGTGTACATCACCACCTACAGGACCCACAGGGTGGCCTGGCAGCCCCGTCCTGAGCGACACTCCTATTGTCCATAAATTTGTCCCTTGTCAAGGCTGAGAGATCTGGGCTCCTGAGGGCAAATCCAGCACTGGACTCTCGGGTTAATAATCCAGTTTTGAGATTCTCAGGTGCAATAACTATTTATGGTCTGACTCCTCAATGGAGGTACCATGGGACAGCACAGAAGGTGTGTCCAGAACAGGGTCCTCGAGGAAGGGTTGCTTCCTAGAAGGTTCCCTGGCTGTCACGTGGAGCAGACACTCCCTACCCCAGGCTGGGCTACGCTGTGCTGAACTGGGTGTCGTCTCTCAAACATCTGTTAGGGAATGGGGTGAGACCCGGAGAGCATGAAATGCGTTTGCACTCACAGCCCAAACCAGGGCATGTAAACGCCATGACAAAGAGAAAACAAACATCACCCCAACTCTGGCACCATTTAGAAACAGCCAAGGAGCTCATGCGTGCCAAAATCTTTTTTTTTTTTTTAAGTAGCTTTAAGAAAATGTAGCTCTGGGATCTTAACGGAATTCGTTAGTAGCACTACTAGTAAGGGCAACTAACCAGGAGCAGTGTCTTCCATCATTTTCTTACCTAACATCCTTAGGGCTTCAATGCTGGTTGCTTTCTATTCAAAAAGGCATTTATAATTTAGACATCAAAGGCTTTATAAGGTTTGTCTCTTCATGTGTAAGACATGTTAAGACGTGAACTGATGGGCTTCCCTGGTGGCGCAGTGGTTGAGAGTCCGCCTGCCGACGCAGGGGACACGGGTTCGTGCCCCGGTCCGGGAAGATCCCACATGCCATGGAGCGGCTGGGCCCGTGAGCCATGGCCACTGCGCCTGCGCGTCCGGAGCCTGTGCTCCGCAGCGGGAGAGGCCACAACAGTGAGAGGCCCGCGTACCGCAAAAACAAACAAACAAACAAAAACAAAACAAGACATGAACTGAATGCTGAAGTAATGCCAGGCAGTGGATGACTAGTGACCTCTGACCAGAAGCAGGTGGCTACGGAGGCACCTGGTCACACATCCAATACCTGTTTCAATACCAGCCTTTGCCCTTCTGCTGTCAGCAAGTCCACTAACAAATGTGAAACTTATATTCTGTCCTGAATTATTACCTCAGTAAATACCACACACAGTACTTTTTAAAGAGAAAATTTCCCCTTGATTCCTCAATTCAGAGAACATTCAAATTACTAACTAGAAATCCATCTCGGTTTCCGGATATTTTCGGGTTTTTTAATGACCTACTCTGTCTACTCAATATTCCTCCACTTGAATAAAGAGGCCATATGTCTTCACTGGTTACATTTTCCCCCAAACCTCCAAGAGAACTTTCCTAAACCCTCAAGATGAACTCTGCTGGGCTGCAAGAGCCTGAGAATCCAAAGCCAAGCCCCCAAATTTATTCTGATTATTTTTGTTTTAATTTTTAGCAATGACAGTAGCAGCATGACAGTGAGAAAGGAGCTTGCTCTTCGCAGGAGGATGGGCTGGAGCTTGAACCCCACCCGCCAACTCCTCCCCAGTCCCCAGCCTCGGCTGCCTTCTGTGTACGGTGGGGACGCTGACATCAGCTCTCAGGGCTGTGGGAAGATTAGATAGATTGGATAGAATCATCGGAGGAAGCACTGACCAGGTCCCAGCACACAAGAGAAGCACCATAAATGTGGATTGCCTGTTCCCCCTCATCCCCAATGTGGGTTTATGAGTTTGTCTTCCAGAAAGAACATGGTGGTTAAATGAGGGGGTCTTCTGCGTCAGGCTTTAGGCAACAGCCTCCTTTATGCTAGACCCACGTGAGCTGGGGTGAGTCCTGTGGTCTGCATGTTACTGATCAAGAATGGATGCTCAAAGAGCTCAAGTGATTTCTCTAGAGTCACAGTCACTCAGGGGTGCAACTGGGACTAGAACTCGGGGCTTCTAACTTTACTGCTTTCAGCTAATATCGTAAATTCTAAAACACATAAATTCTAAGTTCATGATCTTATGCAAGGTTGGGAATTAAACTCCAAATGAGAATAAATCAACTGATTTAAATATATATGGGCATAAAAGTCAACCTATAACTGAAACTTGAGTACATAGGTTTAAGCCGCATTGATACCCACAGGCCACGCTGACTTTATACATTCATAAAAATAACAATTACTTCAGTTTTTGGCTTATTCAAAGCCAAAAAGTTATCTGGGAATAAATCTTGGGATAACTCCATTTTTTTTTTTTTTAAATTCAAGGAGTAAAGACAACTGTTTGAAAGAGGCTATGTTGCAGATTGTACTTTTTCCCAAACCTTGAAACCCTTCTTGCTTGGACCTTCTCTGTACTTCCCAAGAGTGGACAGGGCCTTGGAGGAGGGGGCCTCTGGACACCCACTGATAAATGCAGCTGCGTGGTGGAAAACTATACAGCACTGAAAATAAACTACAGGTCTGTGTATTAGCATGAATGAAACTCAAAACAACATTCAATGAAAAAAGCAAGTTACTGAAGAACACACACGGTGAAACTCTATTTACATAAAATTTAAAAACAGGCAGGGCTTCCCTGGTGGCGCAGTGGTTGGGAGTCCACCTGCTGATGTGGGGGACACGGGTTTGTGCCCCGGTCCAGGAGGATCCCACATGCCGCAGAGCGGCTGGGCCCGTGGGCCATGGCCGCTGAGCTTGCGCGTCCGGAGCCTGTGCTCTGCAGCAGGAGAGGCCACAGCGGTGAGAGGCCTGCGTACCGCAAAAAAAAAAAAAAAAAAAGGAACAGGCAAAGTGAAACA